ACAAATGATGGGTCTCCTCAGAAGTACCTAGCAAGCTCGGTTAAGCGATTTTGCCGAAGCATTGAGCTTTGCGAAGACTATCTCCGGGGCTACTATGGGTTGAAGAAGGTCACTGATAAGATTCTGGCTGAATATGCCAAACTCAAGAAGCAGTCAGAGAGTGATGAGTTCTCTCTGCCAGACCAGCAGACTCTTACAAAATTAAACCAGGCAGCCACAGCGAAGCTAGCGGAGATCGTTCGTCGATATGGGGCTCAGGAACCCCTGTGGCAAGGATACAATGCAGACGAGATTGCTGCGGCTCGCGAGTTGCTTGACAAGTCATCGGCAGAGGTCGTCCGGTGAGCGATGCATACAGCACATATGAGTCTCGCCCAATGACAGAGCGGACTTGCTGCATTACGATGCCGTGACTCAGAACAGCGAGTACAGGCGTGGCCAGGACACGCACCGTATGCTTGACAGGAAGTTCTTCCCGTAGAGTCCGGTGCGTGGATGTGCCTGACTAGTTCACTTGCAACGGTCGACGAGGCCTTGGGCCAGAAAACTTGGAATGGAAGAGGCAGAGCATAAGACGGACAAAAGCGGTCCTCTGAGGCTTTGACAGATAACTCAGAAGTGGAGGTAGCAATGCCCAACTCGGCATTGCTGGGCATCTGCACGTGGCGCCATACAGGGATAGGTCGGTGGGGTATACCTGACTCTGAGGTGGGTGGTGATAATCAAGTCTGACAGGGGGGAAGTGTTGAATTTACAGAACTGGAGTTACCCAATACCAACTGCTGGCTTAGGCAGAAATTTACAACATGCAACAGAGAGATCAGTTTCGGTTCCCTTCTGTAATACCCCAGGGGGCGTCGTTGAGTGCTACCAAGATTGGTCTTAGGGTTAGAATACACGATGCTTCGGGTCTCACAGCGACCAGAACACGATTGGCATTGAAACTCGAAACCAAGAGATATTGATTTTCTCCACGTTGAATGCGGAACATGATGTTTATTCCCCGTGGAATGCCGATGATGGCCCTGATTATGGATCACTTTCAAGCGAGCCGTCATGGCGCCAGCGGGACGATGGTTGATCACTAACTCAAATTACATCCTGAGTCTGAGTCTCGTGGTAACCTGGTCTTAACTCATTCTTTGTAATACGGAATTCGCACTGCTTCAAACCTTTGATACCTCCTCGACAGGCTGATTCAGCGACACTTCACCTGGGCCGTTTCCATCGCCGAGTTTATAGTGACAGGGGATAGGCTGTTAGAAAGTGTCAGATGGAAGCCACTTGACAGTGAAAATGCGTTATAATTTCTTTGCCACTGTCCACTTGGCCACGCCTGGGTGGCTGAGGCTCTGCGGGAAGGTGGAAATGCTAATATTTGGTGTCTGATATTCCTGGCTAGGTGGTATCAAGTTGAGATGAGTATGTGCAAATATGAGCTACCCCAATTCAACATCTCTACACAAGCGCTCAAGACTTTGAACTGGATGTAAATCTCAGCAGTTTTGATCACAACCATGATGAAAACCCTGTTGTTTATTGCTGCAGTTCACGGAGTTGTTGTGGGTGTCTCGCGATGGATGAGCTGGCCTTTGGGTTCCTACTTTCGGGCCTCAACGCTGGAAATGGGGCGCAAATCGTGCCTTTTAGCCAGTCGCGGAATGGGGGGCAGCGGGTTGAAGAGGATCGTTGCGAGGCGATAGGTTTGCTTCGTTCTCGTTGACTGAGAGAAGAAGGGGAAAACAGAACTCAAAAATGACAGTGAATTGGGGATATAAGGGCCTCGTAGTTTGCCAATGCCTGAGGTTTCTTTCTTCTTTTTTCTCTCCTATTATTCTATCTGATACTGAATGACTGATTGATCCCTTCAATCATAAAAAAGTGATTTTTTAGTTCGGATAGCGACACTGCGCCTCGGTCCGTTCCGATTTCACGTTTCGCAAACGGTCGAATATGATATATCATTGGACAATGACGTTGCACAGCCTTTGTCGGACAGGAACTCTCTGTTTGAGATGTGCTCGATTACCTGTTTCATGATGATATCAGAAACTCAGTATATCTCCAGGTTGAAACGCGATATCTACCGGTATATCCCGTCTACAACGCAGATGATGTCCACTATTGAAGCTGGTAGTGTTGGGTTCGACAGCAAACGGTTGACCTCGGCGCTAAAATAAGACAACGATATCATTTTGGCGGTCAGCGATTCACGCCGCGATTCACTGGAATTCTGTGTCTGCCTCCCCAGCAACTAAAAAATTTGGGTATCCAATCTTTGACTGGAGGCTGCGTAACGTTGGGCTGCAGCACCGCCATGGCATCCCTGGATCCTTTTGCAGCCCAGCTGAAGAGAAAGAGTCAGAGCCGGAGCCAGAGAGAGTCTGGCCCTCGGCCTCCTTTTTTCTTTCTTTCTGTTTTGCTGTAATTTTCCTTGATTTTTCCCTTTTTCTCTTTTCTTATTTGTTGTGCGTACAACTCGAAATCTCTCTCACTGAAAGAAGTCTTTCATCCCATGGACCCATGCCCTATCTAACCGAATGAAACTGAATCTTGATTCCTTCACGCTCTAAACAGAAAGTCACTGTTTGACTTGCACTTACACCTCCCACTTGCACCCTTCGGGCTACTACAAATAGTACCTACAGTACAGGGCATTAATCTCACCCCACCACCCCCTTCTCCATCCGCCGGGCTCAAAGTCCCCGCTAAACAAGCTGGTTACCGTCCACTACCGATTCACACAAAAACAATCCACCAAACAACAACGCTTTTGTTGATAGAATTTTTGGTTTATACTTGTCTTCTTGTTGTCTATCAAACTTGTCTCATCAAGATCTTCAAACAAGCATCAAACTATACTGTTACAAGGTATGTATTGATTCCGGTAATGTCTACTATTCCCTCTCTGGCATCACCTTCTTTCTCTTTCTCTCTTCTCCGCATGAACACCTTTCTTGTCTCGGATGTATCTCTGGGGGTGGGCTCAACTCCAGAAACGATGGTCCATGTGATCGTCACTGGTCATGTCAAAAACAGCTGAGCGAGCAAATATGCCCCGGCGGCAGCTTTTAGCTAGCATCAACGGGAAGCAGGTCAAGGACTGCATGACATTCACTCGTTCAATCATGGCCCTGCCCACTCGCCTTGCGAACCAAAGAAACACCGCCGCACATAGTCCGCAATACCTCTCAGGCACTCTTTGTCGTACCTCGTTGCGGTCTGCCCTTCCTACGGCGATGCTACAATACTTTTGTCCTTGCTGTAACATCACCACTGCCACTGCCACTGCCACTCTCCCTTCCCTGCCACAGCTCTAGGTCCTTTCCATGACCAACAGGACCATTAGGCTTTGAGGTTCGCTCTTTTTGGCCCCCACATAGGGTTGGGCAAATGCTTTCACAGACCTTGACGCCCTACCACCAGTGACCAGCCTACGAAGACCCAAAACGTAGACAGGCACAGGGGAGAGCCATTTGACAGACTGGAAATGGCAGCGGACGCCTGGGATAAACCGGGAGTTTGGGGAGCCTAGGGGGCTTCAAGCACGGCCATTCAGATCGATGGACCGCCTATACATACATCCCGCCAACTCCAGCCCAACGAGCGCTAGCAGCATGGATGCTTTAACAGGGTCCCCACCGACTCCATCGACAGGGCGACGAACCAGGGTGCCCCAGTTCAGGGCGGCTGACAAGAACCATGGGTGTTTTGGTGCCCAGCAAGTCTTCCCAGCGTAGCAAGCACATGGCATGGCTTCGCGATGCAGGAAACTTTGGTGATCGAGCGTTGTGCTGGTGCTCAATCGACGCTATTCTTCTAGGCTCAAGCCGAGATCCAACCCATTGTCTTGTTCAGATCACCGTTTCGAGTTGAGGGACTGGGTTCGCAGGAAACTTTTCCGCGCCGCTATGTTGCTCAGTCCTCATGCAAGGGAGAAAGATCCTGACCAACCGGGATACTCACTCTTCAAGATTTTATCTAGATGTTTTTTTCACGTCGTGTCTAACTTTACTAACTGATTGTCGTCTTCTTAGTTGGAATCATTGATTTCCCCCAACACACGAAGCTCGGACTGGCATCCTGTGACCACGAAGTTGGTTCTTCAAAAATTTAGACCGTACGGACACACCCGAATTTTAGAGTATACTTTACTTACACGCACACCCACAGCTCTGGTTCGACAAGCTTTCACCGTTGCGATACAACGGTCGTTCGTCGTTTCAGTCGATTCACTCTGGAGCGGCTGTTTGTCAATTCATCTTTTGGTCAGACAAAGACCTGATTCTCTGCGTGCAAAACATCAATTCGACCTCTGCAGACATTATTAACGCCGCTCTCAACTGTATTGGTCGGAATTTCGACCAGTAGTCCATCAGCAAACGATCTGGAACCCCTCACCGCCGATCGATTTCTGCCGCTTTTCCATCCTCGCAACCGCCGCCTGAATCCACCCCGCCCACACTCTTTTGCGCCTGATCTTAACGTGCGCCGTACAGCAAGCAAGCACTCTGCTAGATACAACTTTGGTACCCTCCTCGGTCAGCAACCACAAGGCACCATCGTTCATTTCTTGTTCTGCGACTCCGCACCAGCTTCACAAGCAGGCATTTCCCCCGTCTCACTGCTTTCGTGACCAGCCGACCTTTCCCTTCCGCTGTCACGCCCTCGTCATCTTTTGGTGGCGTACTCACTTAATTTTACGACCCCTCACTCTACGCCTGTCGCGCAAGTCCAATTCTTCCTCGCCACGACCCTCGTACCAAAACACTTGCCGTTGTGTTTTTTTTCTTCTACTGCGGCTACGACCTCGTCCTCCGTTTCCCCCATCGCTGGCTCTGTTACTTTGGGGGTTACTAGGCATTGTTTCTACCCTGTCAGCTGAGCATTACTTGTGCTTGTTGCCTATCTTCTTCCTTTCCAACCTGCGTTCTGCGCCTTTACTCCGGCTTTCTCCTGTGGATTGTCGTGGGTAGAGGGCATCCCACCAAGTATTTGCTATGTGAGTCCCCTCCCTCCATTACCATCCTACCCATATCTTTCAGCGCTTGCGTTCCTCCCCTCCCTCCCCCTTCTTGTCTCTCTCATATCCACCTTACTAGTTGTCTCAACTGCGCCCCCCTCTAGCTTTGTTTACTTGTCTCTCCTACACTTGCGCTTCATCTGTTGCGCATTACTCTCTTGACCAAACAGCTCACACTCTCATCTTACCAGGCTCAAACAACGCCCTTCTTCCAGAGCCCCTACCTCCGGCACTCGTCCTACTGAGACGTCCGCCTCTGGGACAGCATCTTACAGCGACGATTCTTCGCAGGAGACCAGCCAGGACTACACCGACTCTGAAGAAGACCTTTACGACGACGAATACGACGACGACGACGCTCTTGGCCCGTCTGACTCTGCTTCAACTAGCGACCACGATCAACATTATCGTCATCACCTCTCTCAGCGTCAGCATCAGCTCCCTCCTCACCAGCTTCCGCCTCAACCTCAATATCCACCACCACACCATCAGCAGCTTGCTCATCACCAGCAATTACCTGGTCGCCAACCGCCACCCCATCAATTGCAACCCCGTCAACAAGGTCCTCCCCAGGATCTTTACCAACCTGAAGAGGAGCCCAGACAGTCTTATCGTCGACCGCGGCGCGATCGTGCAGCGCCACCAACCGCCAATCTGGAAGATCCTCGTGGGTATGGCGCCTATGGCCGTGGCGCATATGGGCATCCCCAACCCAGCGGGCGCCCTGGCCCGGGTCAAATGTACGGCAGAGGCCAGCAACCAGGATACCAAAACCAAATGGGACCCTATATGGGATACCCTGCGAACAGCCAGATGGTGCCGTTTGGCTACGGTGACCCTGCCAGCCCTTACGGTGCTGGCTATGGAGGAGAAGGTAGAGGCATGTATGATCTGATGCCTTACCAACAACCTCCAAGTGGTTACTATGGCGCCGTACAGCCTCATCCCCTCTACGGGCCACCCCACATGGCTGGAATACCACCTGGGCAACTCACTACACCACCTCCTCCTCCGCCTACTGAGGCTCCTGCCAAGCCAGCCACACCCGCTCCTCCAAAAGAGGATCCGGAGAAGATTCGATTGGAAGCTGAGATTGCTGCGTTTAAGGCTATGGAGGAGAAAGTCAAGGCTGCCGAAAAGCAAAAGGAAGCTGAGGCGCAAATCCGAAGAGAAGCTGAGGAAGCCTTCACTCGAAGAATGGAAGATATGAGACTGGCCCAAGAGGAAGCCAAAAAAGAGATCGAAAGGGCCAGGCTTGAGGCAGAAAAGGCTGCCCGAGAAAGAATGGAAGCCGAACGAAAGGCTGAAGAGAAACGCGCCCAGGAACACGCTCGCGCTATGGCAGAAGCCGAGGAGAAGGCTCGTCTCAGATTCGAAGCAGAGATGAAGGCCGCTGAAGACCGAAGAAAGGCAGAGGCAGAGGCTCGCATCCAAGCTGAAGAAGAAGCCAGAAAGAAGTTCGAGGCTGCAGCGAAGGCAGCTGAAGAACAACGACAGGCTGAGGCTGCAGCGCGCGCACAAGCAGAAAGGGAGGCCCGAGAGAAGTATGAGGCCGAGATGAAGGCAGCCGCCGAACAGCGCAAAGCAGAGGCGGAAGCCAAAGCCAAGGCCGAAGAAGAGGCTCGTCTGAAGCTCGAGGCTGAATTGAGGGCAGCGGAGGAGCGTGGTAAGAGAGAAGCTGAAGAGAGGGTTAGGGCCGAAAGAGAAGCTCGAATGAAATTTGAGGCTGAACTGAGGGCTGCTGAGGAGAAGAGGCAGAAAGAGGAGGAAGAGCGAAAGCGTGCTGAAGAGCTTGCTCGAGTTCGCTTTGAGAAGGCACTACAAGAGGAAGCTGATGCAAAGGCCGCAGCCGCGAAGAAGGCCCAAGAGGAAGCCGAGCGCCTCATGAGACTTGAGCAAGAAGCTAAGGAAGCCGCCGCAAAGAAAGCAGCCGAGGAAGCCGAGAAGCTCAAGAAGCTCGAAGAAGAAACTCGCGCGAAGGCTGAGGCTGAGACACTTAAGAAAATCGAGGAGGAAAATAAGAAGGCAGCAGAAGCTGCCGCAGCCGAGGAAGCCGCTAAGAAAGCCGCCGCAGAACTTAAGAAGAAAATTGAAGAGGAGACAAAGGTCAAGCTTGAAGAGTCTAAGAAGAAGGCTGAGCAGGCCCCAATCCGATTCAAGGATGCGGTTGGTCGAAAGTTCAGCTTCCCTTTCCACTTGTGTGCCACTTGGCAGGTATGTACTTCAAATTAGGACAGGCGACGAGCGATGGCTAACGATTTTGCAGGGTATGGAAGATCTCATCAAGCAGGCTTTCATGCAAGTTGATGTTTTGGGTCCTCATGTAATGGAAGGACACTATGATCTTATCGGCCCCGATGGCGAGATCATCCTGCCATCCGTTTGGGAGAAGGTGGTTCAGCCTGACTGGGCTATCACCATGACGATGTGGCCAATGGATAAGATGCCTCCGCTGGGACACCCCAAGATGCCTGGCGGGCCGGGCATGCATGGGCACAAGCACGGTGGCCCTATTCCTATTCCACCCCGTCCCATGGGCGCAGGCATGCGACCTCCTATGATGCCCCCAGGCGGTATGCCACCTGGAGGAGTTCGACCACCTGCGGGATGGCCTGTCGGAGGAGGTGTTCGACCTGATATGCCAATGCCGGCCAACGTTGTCACAGTTGGCCCTAATACTGGCAAGTCCAGCAAGCACAAGAAGGCTTCCAAGGATCACTCAGGAATGGCAGGCTTTCTATTTGGCAAACCTCAAAAGAAGAAGTAAGTTCTTGAGTCCTCTAACTACTGAGACAACAAGCTAACGATTGGCCAGGCCTAGCAAGAAATGAGATTTCATGCTGATGAAGAAATGATGGTTTGAGATTGATTTAATTTTACAGTTTTACTTGTCTATTCGCAGATACCTTGTCGGCATCGGTTGCCGGCCTGATTTCAAAAACATCTCCTTGGCAGTTTCTTCTGGGATTTTCTACTATTGTTTGAGATGAAAAAACGAGGCAGCGGAATTTTGATCCTTTCCCAACTCATGGTTAGCGTATTCATATCGCAGAGGCGTCACGAATTGTCCTATATGCATGTGGATCGGAGTATGATGATATGGTTGAAACGACGATATGGAGGGAATGGGAACACGATCCAATGTTGCAGACTTGTATCGGCCATCTTGGCTCGGTTTTCGCCTGAAGCTGATCAAGTCGAGATATTGGCGTAAAGATGACGCTCTAGTTTTTTTTTTTTTTTATCTGTCTGTTTGGTCTGGTCTGGTCTTGGTTTTGATTTGGATATGGCGGACGAGCACGTTTGATAGACACGGCCGTCCTAGACACGCGTCACGTAGAATGAATGGAGTAGGAAGAAGAATGATTTGTTTTAAGTTAAGCTTGTTTTTGATCGACAGGAGTGAGTTTGGTATGGTCCCTTTTATGGTCCCTTCTATTGTGTCGTGCATGTTTTAAGTAAATCGTGGTATGCCCACCTGAGTCTATGCAAGTAATCTAGTCTAGACTATTTCTAGTTTCCTTCAAGGTATATATATGAGGGGAGAATGAGGGTGTAATCCCAAACACTACTGTATGTAGGTAGGCAACATTAGAGTTTCCGTTGATGTCCCAGCTTCTCAAAGGCCTTCTTCTCAAAGGCTTCTATCATCATGCTGGCGACTTTGTCTGACACAGCAGCACTTACAGCACCATAGAGTGGGTTTGTAAACTGAAAGTCGATAGAGAGATTGACCTCAGTGCGCGGTGAAGGTGGGCCAGATATTGGTCTCACCGACCAGCGTGTCACAAGGCTTCGGAAGACAGCCGATGCGTCAGGCCCTGTACCCCCCGGAGCAGTCTCCCCACTGATGGCTTCAACAGATTGGCCAGGAACACAGCGCAATCGACTTGTAAAGACCTCGTCGAAGCCTCCCCATCCGACATGTAGATCGGCGAGTGTGGGGTAGCGTCGCCCGGTATCGGGGTCGGGATCGGACCAGCGAGTTACTCGAGAGCGAGAGCAATAAGGGACAAACGATGAGTAAGAATCCACGTCGGCTATGAGATCGTAAAGAGGTTCATGGGGGTATGGTAGAGTGCGGTTGGCCGTTAATCTTTGAGGCTCGGAGGACGGGAGGGTGATGAATGAGCGGTGCAGGGGTGTTGAGGCTCGAGTGAGGTTGGTGATGCTCGATATAGAAGCCGATGAGCGGGCGACAACGGCTCTGGAGGGGAGGAAACGGAGGGCCATTGGAGGGTATCAAGAGGATTATCGGGATTATATTGATCTAGCGTCACCGTCGTGAGAGTCTCATGGTCTAGAAGGGAATAATGAACGTCTACCCAGAGGGGATAAATAGCTGTGACAGAAAATCTATGATGGTGTTGAGGCTCTGCTAAACTGAGTCGAGAATAAGTTGGAGGCCCCCCCCCCCACCTCGGGCTGGCTTGGTGCAGTGTAGTCTAATCCGCTAAGCTCGTAAGGTTAGGGGATTTGACCGCTGTAGACACTCCCCAGCTCGGGCCGTCCTGCTCGCCGAGCCAAGGGCAGGGCGGTGGATGATTCCGTCATGCTCACTCAGTACCTAACCTAAAGCCGCACATGCTGTACTGTATGTACAGCACCTACAGTGCTCGTTATGTTTAGTGCACCTGTACCTTACTCAACACCCACCAACCATCCACCCCATCTACTCTCACCAGCACGCGACATCTACATCCGCTGCTGAAGGAACCGTTCTCCTCCTCACGATAATATACGAGATGCGCCGGTCGAACATACCTTCACGAAGCCCCTGAGACCACGTCCTACCACCTAAATAAGCATCTCCTCCAACGGTCGGCCCCACGCCCGCGGGGCAGCTTCTCACCATGTAGGCTACGACATCAACACCGAATCGACCTCTTGGGAGAGACATTGACCGTGTGCGCGCAGGTTCGAAAAGTCGCTCTACGACCTCATCCGGGGGCTACGGAACCACAAGGGCAATGAGAAGGAGTATATCCAGAAGAGCCTCAAGGAGTGCCGCGCCGAAGTTCGCAGCCAGGATATGGGTTAGTTTGATGCTATGTTTGGGAGAAGCTAGCCATACAGAGGATCTGACTTTGGCTGTTTAGATCTCAAGGCGACGGCGCTGCTGAAGCTTATTTATCTGGAGATGGTCGGACATGATATGTCGTGGGCGTCGTTCCACGTCCTCGAGGTCATGTCGTCGCCCAAGTACCACCAGAAGCGAGTTGGATATTTAGGAGCTGTCCAGAGCTTCAGACCCGACACTGAGGTTCTGATGCTGGCTACTAATCTGCTGAAGAAGGTCTGTCGGTCACATGCTGGGCTTCTTGATGCCTCTAGCTAACATCATGATCAGGATCTTGGTTCGACGACTCCGACGGTTATATCTCTCCCTATAGCCACTCTTCCCCATGTCATCACCCCCTCGTTAGCGCTCTCGACATTGCAAGACTTGCTACCGCGATTAAGCCACAGCCATTCGAACATTCGAAAGAAGACACTGGTGACGCTATATCGCCTTGCGTTGGTATACCCTGAGGCTCTTCGTGCAGCATGGCCCAAGATCAAGGAGCGCCTCATGGACCCTGATGAGGACCCCAGTGTCACAGCAGCCATCGTCAATGTTGTCTGTGAGCTCGGCTGGCGAAGACCGAATGACTTTCTTCCTTTGGCTCCTCGACTGTTCGAGCTCTTGGTTGATGGTGGTAATAACTGGATGGCCATCAAACTCATCAAACTCGTAAGCTATTAGCACTTAACGTCATCCGCTGCCGTACTAATCTCTGTTCAGTTTGCCACTTTGACACCGCTGGAACCTCGACTCGTGAGAAAGCTGCTACCTCCTCTGACCAATATCATTAGGACCACTCCTGCTATGTCGTTGCTCTATGAGTGCATCAATGGAATCATTCAAGGCGGTATCTTAGGAAACTCTGATGACTCTGGCACTGATGAGATCGCGACGCTATGTGTCAACAAATTGCGAGGCATGGTCATGATAGACGGCGATCCTAACCGTAAGTGCTCATATGTTGTTGCTTGAAAGTGGATGTATATTGACCACAACTTTAGTCAAATATGTTGCTCTACTAGCGTTCAACAAGATCGTTACCACACACCCTTACTTAGTATCTCAGCAGGAGGATGTGATTCTGGAATGTATCGACAGCCCCGATATCACTATCCGAATACAAGCACTCGACTTGGTCCAGGGTATGGTGACTGGCGACAATCTCGTGTCTATCGTGAGCCGCCTCATGAAGCAGCTCAAGTCGTCCATGCCGGCTCGCGACAAGTCACTACCTGGAACTCCTCCGAATGATCCCAACGAATCTGAGGACGAATTTGCTGAACCAGCCCCGAGGCCAAAGGCCGAATCCGCTCCTCTGCCCGACGACTATCGAATCGACGTCATTGGAAGGATCTTGGGAATGTGCTCCAAGGATAACTACTCAAGTGTCTTAGACTTTGACTGGTACATTGATGTCCTCACACAACTTGTTCGTATGGCTCCCGCCTCTCGCAAGGTCGATGATGATCTGGGTCCAGTTGAAAGGGCCAGGGCCAACGTGTCTGAAAAGATCGGTGACGAGCTCCGCAACGTGGCTGTCAAGGTCCGGGTGATGCGATCAACGGCTGTCAGGGCAGCAGAGATCATCCTCAGCCAGCTCAATACAGATACACCGCCTGGATACAAAATCACTTCAGGGGCGCTCAAGTCAGTTGCATGGGTCATGGGTGAATACGCTTCGCAATTAGCTGTACCAGATGAGGGTCTGAATGGCCTATTGCAGCTCATTCCCCGAACAAACAACCCTGAAGTTTTAACGACGACCCTACAGGCAGTCACAAAAGTTTTCGCCACTATAGTTGGGGATGAGAGTGAACCTTGGACAGCAGAGAGAAAGTCGAGCGTATCGCTACTTATGGCGCGCATTATCCACGTCTTTGAGCCTCTTGCACTGCATCCTAGTCTTGAGGTCCAGGAACGAGCCGTTGAGTTCACAGAGTTGCTGAAGCTCACGGCTGAAGCTGCTTCATCTCAACCGGCGTCGACAGACGATGTCGAGCAAGACCCCCCGTTACTCCTTACTCAAGCTATCCCCTCGCTTTTCAACGGCTGGGAACTCAACTCGGTATCCAAGGGTGCTCAGCTGAACGTCCCAGTACCCGTGGGCCTGGACTTGGATGAACCCATTCATGCAAATCTGGCCAAATTACTGTCAGAAGCCGACTCTATCACGTTAGCAACAGACGACTCGGATGAGTTTGAGACATATTACCACCAGAAGCCACCACCTACAAGCATTGATTCATCTGCACCAGCCATCAGCAGGATAGCTGAACCTACAGAGGAATACTCAACTTCTTATCAGCAAGCTGATGAAGACACATATCTGGATGCTGATATTGTTGCTAGAAGAAAAGCTGAGCGTCTCGAGCGCAACAGAGATGACCCCTTTTATATCCCCAGCAACGACACTCCTCGCACTTCGACCCCTATTCACAACATTCTCCAGAGCAGCAACGGGCCCGACTTGGATATCGACTCTATACCTATCATGCAACTAGAGCTATCAAGAGCCGGAACGCCTGCTGCACAACCCCCAAGGCCACAGCCAAAGCCACGACAAAAAGTCGTGATTGCCGCAGATGAGACACTCGAAGGCAGCGCAAGTGGCGGTCTTCGATCCTATGACTCGGAGAATAACTCTGACAGCTTCACAAAGTCCAAGGCTCGCAAGCCCAAGGCCAAGCAGACTCTACTTGGCGTAGACTCGAGCGGCATTGGCTCCTTCAGTCTTGAAGGTCAACCGTCAACTGGTTTCGACTATGAGCAGCAACAGCGTGAGGAAGTTGAGATGCAGCAAGCCATGAAAGAAGTCGAGCGACTCCGCCTCGAGATGCAGCGCGCGAACGAGCGCATTCAGGTGGCACAGGGCGTCGATGTCGAGGGCACAGTTGTCAAGAAGAAGAAAAAGAAGCCCAAGAAGGATGCTGGTGCCGAGGGAGCAGAGGGCGAAGAAGTGAAGCCAAAGAAGAAGAAGAAGAAGGCCCCGCGGGCTGCGGTCCTAGAGGAAGAGGGCGGCGATGATAGCAGTGCTCGTGGCGTCGAGTCTCCTGCTTCTGGTGGTGAAGTGGCTGTCGCTAAGAAGAAAAAGAAGAAGCGTGTTGCTGAAATTCAAGACGAGTAGACGGGCACAAGTGGTTTAGGAGTCAGTGAGCGAGCATTCGATAGTAGAACAGAGACACTGGTCAGAAGGAGGAGGATCAAACAGATAATAATAAGTATCAAAAGTCTTTGAATCATTTCTCATGTCCTGCCTTTTCATGTGCTAGGCCTCTTTTCGCTCAATATTTACAACGTCTCGAGAATATCATCAAGCCCGAGCTGGATCAATGTCCTGAAATAAGTCTCTTAACGAATAGGGAATCGCTGCCGTATCATGATGTTGATACAGCATAAGTACAAAAACAGACCAGTTCCAGTTCCACGTCCAGATCCAGATCCAGAAAAACGACAAGAAAAAAAGTACACCGATAGTTCTTTTTTGCTCATGTTCCATTAACACATACACATGACAAGGTAGATTAGCCGACCGAGTCAACCCGAGCCGCTCCCCTCTATTCCTGCAGTCCCGCTGTTAACCAAATCCCAACTCCGTTCAAGATCAAGATGAAGGCGTGGCTTTATTGGATCTGTCATGGTTCAGAACCGAAACTCCGCCTCCAACCGCTGTCTAAAACTTGGCTCCGTGTCGTAAAACTAGTCCTCCATCGGAGCATCTTCAAGCTGCACGCCGCGGTTGGATTCTGAAGGGGGAGTCGATGGTACAACAGGAACTCGCTTGCCACCAACAAACTTGGTAGGCGTACGTCCTGTGCTGTCACGGCTGTCACGCTTCTCCGAGTCGGCATCAGACCTATCCTTCTCAGCATCGCCATTTACAGGGGCAGCACCATCGGGCTCGGGAACTTCAAGACTCTGTCTCTTGATAACTCCGCCAAGACTGGTGCGGTGTCGGTCGACAGCCGATGTTGGGCTGGCAATAGGGAATCGGGTCTCTGGTCCACCAGTGCTTCGGTCTCGGCGGTGACCACGGGGGCCGGGCGCAGGGCTCTTATCACGACCGCGACTTGCGTTGGCCTTTTCCAGCAGAGCTCTATTCCGCTCTTCCATAAGGGCCTTGCGGTTGCTTTCATCGGTACTAATAGCTCGGGGGCGGTTGTTGCTGCCAACAGAAGTGGAGTGTGTAACCATAGACATACGCTTCAGTGCACTGAAGATGGCATCCTTGTGGGCAAACAGATCTCGGACCAGTCGGTACGCATGCTTCTCTTCCATTGTGAGTGAGGTCTCCGTTCGCGGCCTCAGGATGCAAGGTGCAAGTGTGCTAGCAAGAGATGCAACATAAGTTTCATCGGCAGAAGTCAGGTCGATCAAGCGAGTGAAGTGATTCATGCAAGCATCGAGAGTGGCAATATTGGTGAGACGGAGCTGTGATAGAGTAGATTGGAGAGCAGCAATGCGAGAGGACTCATCAGCGTCAGTAGATGGGGTAGAGTAAATAGTTCGGATAATCTCGTAAACGTGCGAGGAGACCAGAGAATCTATATCATGTTAGTTTATATTATAAAGATGAGATTCATCGAGCTTTTGCACTTACCAGGTAACTCCAAGAGATAGACTTTGAGCAAACTGGCAACCGTGGGGATATCAAATTCATCAAACACATCAGGAGAAACAGGCTTGCCGTCATTAACCTTGGCGCGTAGACGGTGAGATTGCGATAGCGGAACTTCCAGCAACCACACACCTCGCCGAGCCTCGTCACCTTCAAGATCAGGATAATGGTGGTCTAAATAGGTCAAGATGGTGGTAACAATCATGGGCACACGCTTCTTGTCAGCCCTGGCACGCGCCTCCAGATCGATACCGAATGTCTGCTCATCGACCTTATTATAATAATTCTCATAGACGACCACTTTGGGCACGAAACTTCCAGTGCGATAGGTCTCGAGAAGATAACGTAGATCGCTCTGGGGCTGGATGGTCTCCTGGAAGAGCATCATCTGGTCTACAGTAGACTGCAGGCTTGGGATGACGTTTCCAATGGTGCCCGAGAAGTCGAGGATGACAGTCTTGACAGCCTTTAGGCGGTCAAGCTCGCAACGCTCGAGGAACTTGAGATGGAGATGAATAGCCTCCTCAAGCTCGCATCGAAGCTGGTCAAGCTTGCGGACGCCCTCGCGGTACCTCTCATCGGCCTCGGAAGCCTCTCGCTTAAGACGCTGGCTGGGGGTCTCGTTAGGGTGAGAGTTGTTGAGAACATTCCAGTTGGCAAGATATTCGCTGACAGTTCCAACCGGAGAATCAGCGCTCTCAGAACCGGTAGAAGCCAGTGAGAAAGTGCGGTTAATAGACTTCTTTTCGGGAACACCAGCCATTTGGAAAGCCTTGGGTCGCCATTGATAAAACATCTTGGAGCTGTTGGCAAATGTACTTCCCACATTACCGATGAGACGAAGGAAACCGTTGTTAACAAGATCTTGACCAATTCGCTCGGCATAAGCCACGCCGATGTTGCCCATGCTACGCTGCAAATATTCGACGATGTCGGAACCGGAGGAAGTGTTGAGATATGTTCCCAGGATTGGCACCTTGGTCTCGCCCATCTTGATGCTGGAAAGCATTTGGGAAAGGATCTTCTTCACTTGCTCGGGCTGGTAAGTGTCGTCGCCAATTTCATATAGCTCTTCCTCCTCGGGTTCCTCCTCCTTATGAGGCTGAACCTTGATCTCGGGAATATTCTGATTGCCTTTGGGGCTGGTTTCAGGATCCTGGAAGGCAAGCTTATTTTCCTCTTCGAGGTCCTCTACTAGTCGGCATTTGTTGAAATACACGGATCGGAGCTTCTTGACTGCCTCAGCCTGACGGTCGTGAGCTTTGATGCGCACTTGCAGCTCATCTTGAGAGTCCTGGATACGAGCTTCGTGGGCGTCGCACCAGCGGGAGAAGGGGTTGACAACGAGGTCGCGAATGCTCTGGGCGATGCGACGGTGGTTGCGAGCAGCATCTTGCATCTCATTTCGCATGCCATCAAAGGCCTAGATTTTGTCAGTTTGTAAGATCGACCCAGATATTGACGTTATCGCATAGTGAATCCCCACAAGTGACTGCGGCGCAGACTGTGGGCACTTGGGAGAGGATTCAGAAGCATAGTATCGTACCTTGCGAACGGTGGCCCCGTCATCACGGCTGAAGCCACCAGTGATCTTGTCGGCGGATGGAGCAATATCGCCAAGTCGCTGACCATACGTCTCCTCAGCTTCGGCGCGTAGGCGTGCGATGGTCAGAACCTGTCTGTTCTCATAAACACCTTGTTGAAGCTTGCTAAACAGGACACCAAGTCCCGCAGCGTAATCGCTCGACCAGAAGGAATCAGCGAACCCCGGCATGATGGTCTGCCTTGTCCAGCCCCTTCAATTGATGCGGTGATTATGTGGTCCCTTTTTCGATTCTGTCAGATTCTGTCAGAGGGGGAGTAAGAACCAAAAGCTCGCTATAGCGGTGGAAGGATTGTCGGAGATCGACTGGCGATGTAGTGGGTGACGTAGGCGTAGACGTACGCAGGAAGTCGTCGCGATCGTCGTAAATTAAGGGGGGGGGGGATTGGGCGAAAAAACGTCGCCGTTTGCGTTGTGCAGATTGATAACCTGTCGTGGTATCTGCTGCGTGTCTCTGTCTTGCGTAGACTAGTTCGGTGAGACGGCTGCTGCCGATGCAGGGGAAGCAGTTGATTTATTGTTGTGCGAATTCTAGGGATCGAATCCGGAGCGACAAGACACCTACGGAGTACGGAGTTGCAAGTCGAGACAGCTATACAGTACTCTGTATCTTGGTTCGTCAAACTTTCTGTCCCCTTGGGCTGACACTGTCTGGGCAGGACAAGGCTGAATGGGGGAAAAGATCGGGCGTGCGTGTTGACTGGATCGGAAGCTTGCGAACTGGGGTCCGTCCGTGTGGGAGAATTGGGACGAGATGATGGTTTGTTAGCTTGAAGGAGGCTGGCGCTGGCGCTTGGTTGGCATTCGCTGTCTGACTGGCGACGTGGAGGGGGGGACGTTTCTGTGCTAATTAACAGGGGACTTTGGATGTAGAATCGTTTCTTTTGGGCGTCATAATATCAGATCAGAAGATTTTGTTATTGTGGCGATGATCTATCATAAAGAAAAGAATCTGGAAAGATCTAGCTTCTTTGTCTGCTAATAAAGTAGTAGTAATACCTAATTTTATGACAGCCCAGCGATGGTCGAAATGGCAGGAGGTGGATCATGTCTTTCTTTCCTGCCTTCCATTCAATCATCAACAACCGAACCGAGCTTAGCGAATCCACCAAGATGAACCAGGAAGAGGGAACCATGGAACGGGCAGCGTTGAACACGAGCGTTTTTGTGTTGCTTGAAAGCAGTTGATACCACGTAATCAAAGTTGCATTAATTCACTGATATAAAAGCAGTTTAGAACTCTAAAAGAGATTCAGCATCAAAGAGTTGCGTACGCCTTCTAAGTTCATTCTGACTGATATTTTTATTCTCCCCTGTCGTCGCCAATCTGAAGTTCTGTTGCTATTGCTACGGGCTTTCGAGAGGAACATGACAGCCACAACCAGAGACGCAATCGGCATTTGTGGCCGCTTTAGAGGCCTCTCACTGGGCAACTCTCCGTTGTTAGCGGATGCGGGCCCCCAGCCACTTGCTCAGGGCTGAAGTTAACCCCCTGAGGATAGTCTCCTCGTAAGTTGTGGGGACGGTACCTAATTTTAGAGGCACGTTTCAGAAAGACATTCCTGGGTAGTTCAGGGGTCCGTGTGAATCAAAGTAGGACTCTGGGCTCTCCTGTGACGACGGGGACAAATTCTGGGTTTGAAGATGCTGTTAATCTCACATCTTCGTATATGATTTTTCTTTAACTTTTAAACAAATTCATGCTCTTATGGTTCATACACAATTCTACAAGAAATAAATGAATTAGCCGAGGGCCCATTCAGATCTGATCTCAGCGCTTGTCGGGGATCTTCCTAGCTCTAACTCAGTGCCTGTTCTGGAAGTATGCCACAAGCTACCATAGTAGGAAGCTAAGAACTTCCTGTATTAGATAGAGTTCTATAACTGAGATCTTATTAGACTATAGCTATTAAACAGAGCCTCGGCATGTAGTGTTGCTTCTTTATTAATCCCGAGCTTTGCCATATGCACCTCAATCTTCTTCACAACCAAGCGGTAGGCAGGTCTTCATCATCTATGGACAGGCTACTGATGAACGGCGAAGCGACTAAACGTTCCCGATTATAAGCCCAGTCGGATCTTGGAAACTCTTTGTATTCAAGTCCAATGCCAACTTGTAAGAGCAAATCTTCGGTATGACTTTCATCGAATATTTTCTTGACGTCACACGTCACCCGTTTCAGCCTAGGGAATCGACCCTGCTCTCTTCTGAGATTCGCCAGTCCAGACAACCCCTTCTGTAGACGTTCGGGAGGTGGAGGGAAATCTGGCTCCACAAGTGTGAGAGACGTGATGCTGGGTGGAAGGAAATTTGTGAGGGACTTCTCGTCAGGGAACTCCAAACTCTGGGTGTTGTACACTGCATCGCTGTTGAGGAACAGCTCTTGTAAGACTGTGAAGGTGTCCAGGTGGGGCATCGGGTCTATCTTGGTATCTCGACTCATAAAAGCCCGAATGCGGAGGTCAAGATGAAGCGACTCTAGACTTGTGCAATGCTTCTCGAGGTGTCTGACAACATCGCTTGCCTGAACTTGCCAGTTGTAAAGCTCATCAATGTGCAAGGAAGTAACATCTGTGGCTTCATATGTGAATGCCTTCAGACTCCCAGTACACGAGGGGAGGATCTTGGCGAGCTGGTCGGGACTCAACCTGAAACCTCTGAGGTGAAGTGCCTTCAGGCTCGATATTTCAGGCAGTGGCAGTGATTTGTATAGAGTCAAAGCTTCGAGACCTGGCGAAATAGGAATAAGTTGCGATGATAGCCATTTCAAATCAAAGGCCCCACGGAGCTCGAGGTTTCTCAAGGGAAGACTGAATACCCCAAGGACCTTCAGTGCCTGCATTTGGTCATATAACTGATGAGTTGAAATGTCAAGAGCCAGGTGTGGGCATTTGGGCAACAAGGCAAGCAGAATAAATAACAGCTCGACTGATAGAGTACTCGCATGTGCTTTTATGTTCTTTATTGCGTCTGGAGACTGAGCTTTGCCGAGGATGAGTCCTCGAAGGAATGCCTCACGATAAGGTGATGTATCCTTTCTTTGGTCCCAGATATCTGGCAGCTTCAGTCCTCTCACCTTGGCTACCTGTTTGAAGGCCTCGTGAGCTTGTTCAGGGTCAATTGATGAAGCCCCTTGTGTGGAATAGAAGAGGACGGCTTTGGTGGATGAGGCGAGATGCCGTTGTGAGGCGATGGTCCTTATGAAGAGGGGCAAGGATATCTGGGTCAAAGACTTCCGTAAGGGCCAGAGAAATACATGATGAAGAATATCCTGACTGGCGTCACGAAAGCGTCTTGAAACGAGACACAGCGACGCCAGTATCTGACGATCTTGGCGGTAGTTGCTGGTGAGTTGTTCAGTGTTTCCAGTCAGATATTCCTGTTTGCCACGACAGTGTAAGCAGAAGTAGCCAAAGATTTGACGTAGTAACTCTGGGGACAAGTTGACAAGGTTAGGTATGTGTTGTTGGTTCTGTGAGTCTTGACTTTCCATATGGCGCATTGTATTGACTAACTATAGGTAACATGTATGATGAGAACAAAGATGAATTAATGACTGTTGTCAAGGCCAAGACATGAACTATTGGCAATGGAGAGGGGGTTACAGGGATGGAACCAATAAGTACCTTACGGTGTATGTAGGACTTTAACCGCCAACTGATAGGGCAAGCATAGGGCGAAATGGCCATGCTATCTGAAACATTTCAAGAATTATCTTCTCTTCTATGAGATAGCCATGTACACTACCCCAAATAGATTTGACTTTATCTGGGGTCTATTTAATTTTCTCTGTTGTTTTCAACTCTTCTTCCCATTTACCAAAGCGGGAGACGATTGACCTATTTTCAGGGTATTACAAAGACCAGCTAACGTCAAGGGGTTGATCAAAGATGAGAGAATTGGTCTGTTGGTTGATTAGTGCGGCTGTCACGTTGCGACTAAACAAAGACCAAAGAACTTGATGGCTATTATTGCCTGGTATCGTTCGACTTGGTTCAACCCTGTCGTTACGTAGTATCTGCTTGATTGCCTTGCACGGGTAAATCTACGATCTTCAGATGATCTACATCACGTGTATCGCTTCTTGCCGAGAGCCATCAACTCCAGGTCCAGCTCGTAAACTTCCACACCCAAAGCAAAAGCAACAAAAGAACCCTTGTTGATGCCACCGCAACAAGGACCATTATTTCCGGAGACGTCGGCCAAAAACTTACGATGCTTCCTCTAAACGAACCGCCCTTGACTGGCGTCTCCTCCCCCCCTCCAACCCAATAATTGGTCACTCCCTTCACTACTTAGCGCTCGGGGACCTGCGTCCCCCACTCACACTTCCTTAGCCTCTTTGACCATGCCCTGATGTAAGTGCTTTTCGTAGTCGAGGTTCCAAATGGGGACATCATCTCTTTCGCCAAGGGACCGACCAACCTGAATTGGTCCCAAAATGGGCCCTTATATTCAATTTTGAGGGTTGGTCAGTCCCCTTATAATGGAGCCTGCATTCTGAAAAAGGGTGAGGTCACTTCCATTCTGGTGTAATTCATTGTTTGTCAGTTACCTTTGTTGTTACTATATAGAGAGCTTGCGGTTCACTCTTTTACTGCAATAAGACTCACCCTCACTCACTCACTCACTCATTCTTCCATTCGATTATATTCTATTCTCCTGTAAGAGGTATTCGTTAAATTTCTTCTCTTGCAATGCCTTCAGTCAACACTTTCATCACCGCCCTCGTGGCTGGTTTTGCCATCGGAGCTCATGCCGGTCCTTGCAGACCTCATGCTTCAAGCTCTGTTATTCAGTATCCTGTTTCTACCACTCAACAGACCGCAGCCGGAACTTCTTCTGCCTACACTGATGTTGTGAGCAAGTCCGATGCCAAGGCTTCTCTTTCTACTACGGCTGTGCAAGTCACCAGCACTACCAAGGACGAGTCCGAGCCTGCCACTGCTGAGGAGACAACTACTGGATACCCTGTCGCCGAGACGACTTCTGCTTCTGCTGAAACCCTTACGAATGGTTCTGCTTATCCCACTTCCGAAGCTGAGACTACTGAGCCTGCCGCCAAAACTACACCAACTGCTAAGGAGGACACAACATCTGCCCCTTACACTTCAACATCAGTCCCAGAAACCACTTCGAAGCCAAAGACCACTCTCGACACCACTACTGT